TAGGGAATGGAGGAATGGGGTACAATCATAACTACTATTGCTACCATTCTTACATTCCCTACTAACCAAAGGTAAGTTCAGGGGCTGGGGAATTCTTGCCTGGGATGTTGTTGTTTTATTCCATGTTTCGGGGAAGGGCTGTCAGGAAATTGGGGATCCTACTCAGGTCCTACTGCTCAGGGTCCTTTCAGAAGGGAGGCCCCTGGTCTGATTGGTAAAGCTGATGGGGCGATGCGAACGCGAAGCGAAGGTTGAGAGTCTCGGGTCCAAACTCAGCAGTGTTGCGATTGCCCCGCAACGAACCCTACTACCACAGCTTTACTCCTAGATTCCAGATTATATCCTAAACCTCGAACTAACTATTACCTTACTCAGCCCAAAATCGAACAAGCCCTAAGCCTGAAAGCCAAGCTGCACTGCATATGCCCGGCCGCTGTTCCTGGCTCGAATAGGAAATACGCGGATGTGGGCATTTAGGGTTGGGTTTACAGACTTGAGGGTTTAGGTTTTCATTTCAAGCTAGGTTAGGTTTGAAGGATCTTGGCATGAGTTTACACTACGAGACAGGCATAGAACAAAACATGCCACGAAGAGTCCTAGCCCCCACTGCCAGCAAAGTTGACTGAGCTTTTCAAGAAGGGCTTCAGGTCGCGCCTCTTTTGGCAGTGCTGAAGTCCAGAGCCCTGCGCGGAAAAAGCCCTAGCCAGCAGAGACAAAACAGACTTCGAGTCTCCGAACCGCGAGGGCAGGCGGATCCTCCAACTGAAGCTTTTTCTCCTTACGCCCCTCATCCCCCATGCGGCCATGGAGCGAGCGACCAGCTGCCCCGCAAAGGAGCTGCGAGTGGACCCTGGGCAGAGTTCAGAAGCATTCTCCTTGATGGCTTCCTCCCCTAAGTTCGACGGCCTGAATGAACCAAAACCCGCAGCCCGAACACCGGCTGTACACAACCGGTTACCCCCAAAGAATCGGAAACCCTACACCCCATAAACCCTATAAACCCTATAAACCCTAAACCCTAAACCCTAAACAAAAACCCACCGAAGCTGCAGCCGAGGTCCGTGGTAACTTAATCATCGACCCGAGCAGCCCTCGGCCAACCAGTCGGCCATGCGCCAGCAGCCCGACGAGTCCGATCCTAGGCCCTTGTCATCTTTAAGTCTTTTTCCAGTTGTAGTGCACAATATAGCTTGTAGGAAGCAGCAAAAACTAAGAAGTATGGTATCTAGCATGTGTATGTTTATTGTCCAATAGTAGAACCTTTGTATGTCTAGTATCTAAGTTAAGGAGCCGGGTGTCTTCTAAAACTCTAAACCCCTAAACCCC